AGACTTTAGCTGTGAAATGCTTTTTCGATCGTTATGTTACGATAATTTTTGACAAAGGTGCTCTATCTTGAATTTTTAGAAATTATCGATATATTAACGCAGTGTCCGGTCAATTAGTTTGGTGACTGTATATGTGCGCAGCGTATGTTATATAAAATATGCTGATATAAAATATGCTGATATAAAAGATAATAATAATGTACCTATACTTAAATATGTATATGTATATTATAAATAAAATGTATATTATAAATTATTAATTAATATATAAATATGTTTGTACTTTTACATTTTTTCATTCGATTGAACATTTAAATTAAAGCGTGCAAATAACTTCTAGGTGAGATACAACAAACTGTTTCTAACAAAGGCGATATACACTCATAGATATGTATTTGCAGAGAAAAAGCTTTTATTTAATTAAATCATTAGACAATCAAGAGCAAATGAGCCAAAGGCAAGTTATTAGTAGCCAAAAACAATTTCTATTTCAAATCGGATCCAAACGTTTCGTCTTCTATTAAGTCATATTCATTGGGTTAATATACATAACATTTTAATTAATATAACATAAAATTGATCATTATGTCTTTGATTATCCAACCAAATAGACATTGACGTATAGAGGCCTTCGGGTCACAATGACAGTACAGATTCTCGCTATCATCTACATGACTGTAATTTTGACAACGATGACATATCTGAGATGTTATTAAGCGTATAATTAATCCCGTGAATTTCTTCAAGAGACTTCCATTGTAATGCAGGACAGATATCGAAAAATCATCATAAATATGTATCAATTTTTTATAATTGCGAAGCATACCAAAATTCTGCGGTTTATTTTTTTTTGCAAGTGCGAAGCATGACGAAATTCTGCGTTTTTATGTTATATTAATTAAAATGTCATGTATATTGATCCAATGAATATGGCTTAATAGAAGCCGAAACGTTTGGATCCGATTTGAAATAGAATTGTTTTTGGCTACTAATAACTTGCCTTTGGCTCATTTGCCCTTGATTGTCTAATGATTTTATTTAATTTATTGAGCCTAAATCATTATT